TAAATTTTGCTGTTTTAACTATTTCAGTGATTTCATTTATAAAAGGGATTAGACGAATGTTGAAGGACACTCGATTTCGAAAAGTCACTCACTGCTCTCTTCACTATCACGGCAGTACTAAGCACCATAGGCAAAGGTATGGAGAAAGGGTAGGGGTGCTCCCAGAACTGAAATCGTAGCCTCTTCCAAGGATTGAGTCGGAGGAATTTCGCTACATAAGTGCGAAAATCTTTGGCATTATTGTATTTTAATCAAGTTTTTTGTAGAAACTAATGAAGGTTGTTATCCTGAGACGATTCGATTTTTTGGCATTTTTCCCGGCGCACAGTGGATCTAGTCAATGTGCATTGAAACATGAGCCCTGAGACCCATAAGAATCTATGCATAACGGGGCTCACGTCATAATGCACATAGTTCCGTTTGGTAGAAATACGTCCAATTTTTTGACTGAAAATGCAAATTTGGACATATTGATGCTAAAAGGAACTATGTGCACGGGGATTGTGTGCAACATAGTTCCTTTTAGCATTATGTCCCTTTAGATGTTTAGTTCGTGAAATTTTAACGTTTGAGAGGTGCTCTCTGAAGTAAAATTTACGAGAAAACCAATGTGAGCGACCACTTCTATGACTTTCAAGTTTTGTATCAGTGGAATGAGCTTTAACAGTTTCCAAATTTTGTCCAACTTCTCCCATAGACTCGCTTCAGGGTGCGGCGCGGCGGAGGGTTTAAAGCTGGAATATTCACCAGAAAAAACTGGAAGAATGATAAATAATCTACTGTGTTTTCTCAAAGGCGGCATTTTTAATAATACACGAAAATTCGGCGTTTGATTTCATCATATTTTCATAGCAGTATTTGAAATTATTTAGTCCAAACCTCCTATCACCCTAATATCTTTTCCATTCTCAGTTTTCCCCTGTCATCATATGAAAACAAATAAGCAGCTATAATTGAGGGGCTTGGATGACAAGGCGTACAAGTGCAGTTGTTGAAAAAAATTGAGGTATTAATGATCCCAACTAAAACTATCCGCGGTACATGTTCTGGGAAAAATTAAATTCTAAATTCCAATAATTGGTCATCAAAAAGTTACCTTGAACTTTCTTTCCGCCACAAGGATCAATTTAATTTTGAGACGCTGAACGCGTATTTCTTGAAATAGGAAAAACTGCACTCATGCGCCTTGTCCTCCAAGGCCCTTAATTGAAAAAATTTAAAAGCTCAAAATTAATTTCATGTACACTTATGCTTTTCATAAGCTGCTCCTTTTTCTATGTGTAATCGTGCAAAAATGGTGCATTATTGTATTTTAAGCGCCCGCATACATATAGTTGTTCCTCAAATGTAAGATAAGATGTCCTCTTCTGGCCTTTTTAAAATAAGCACCGAAAAAGTTAACATGTTGTATTTTAGGTGTTGAAATGGGGTCCGGTTATAGGATTGACTTGAATGCTGATTTAATCAGACATAAACTTAAAATTCGAAGTGCTACATGTTGGAATTTTCTTCTTCTTCTCCTTCTCAGATTTTTCAAAAGAAGTGCAAAAATTGCACATTTTTTCGCATGAAAGGATCTGAGTCTTAAATACACGGTGATCCAAAGTCCCGCTCCACCAGCATCATTACCTCTAACTTTTGAACAAATTCAGTTAGAGACTTGAGATTCTGCGAGTGCTTCTGGGTAAAAAAAAAAAAAAGACTTTTGGGATCTCCCAAACTTATAAAGGACCGCCCTGAAAGGTGCAAGAATCCTATAGGGTTTACAGGAGTGGTGCAGGACTTTTAAATCACCATGTATATTTTACTTCGTTTTCGTCTCTCCGTGCATTATGCGAAAAATGAGATCCTATAAAAGCAAAATTAATTTTATCAGCAGAGAGTAAAAATGTATGCGGCAAAGGAGTTAAGATAAAATTCTCAATTATAACGTTTGTTCCCTATAATTTTTTTTAAATTTTTTGACACATCATCTCTTTATTTTGATTAGCTTTTCCTGCAGAGGAGTATACACAAAACTAAAAAAGTTTGCACAAAATCAATTTTTTTCGATACATTTAGATATTCCGGCGATGGACCTCGCAGAATTCAGTGCAGAGGGGAAGAAAATAAATCACGTGTAAAAGCTGATCTCAAGGTTGCAACTTTTCAAAAATCGATCTTGTCAAACTGTCGAGCACAATTTATTTTCTGTCAGTTTCTGTATTTTTTTATTTTTTTTCGTTCAAATACTGAATCAAAAATTTAGAATTCTATTTTAACTTAAATTACGAAAAACTGTGTACTTAAGTGTGGGATGTGCAGTAGAATTTAAAAATGTTTTCCTCAGTGGCGTGGCGTGCTTTGCGATGTATCGATTGATCTGCCATTTACACCTATGGAAAAGGATCGATAAACAAAGTGTTCGCAACGAATATCTTAATGATCGATTCTTTACCACAGCTTCAAATACGGATCTAACGATAATCGATCATTCACGCCTCGCAACTGGTTTTCCTGCGATAACTGCGGCATTCATCTCAATTTACGAAAAATCAGAACAGTTTATAAGCTCTAATCTCTTTTACATACGGGCAAAAAAGTTGGTACTTGGTATCTACAAGGGTGTAGCACAAAGAAGTCAGTAAATATACATAAACAATATAAATTTTAATAAAATCATTATGTCAGAATCACAAACTTTTCGAAACAAACAATATCTTTCATTGTGTCCATAAGAAAACAAATTCTTCATTAAATAAAAACTAATCTCGAGAATTCAAACGACCGCTGAGTGGGTCACATGCTATTTTTCTTGATACTTTCACAAAATCGCTTCTCTTACGACGTCAGGTACATCAACAGAGTGAGAGTAGGTGCTTGAGCTTTTGGGCAATCTCTCTCAGAAAGTTAAAGAAAGGGTGTGATGCTTTACAGAAGGGGAGACCTTTGATTGATACGTTTTATTAGCCTGCGGATTTTCTTCGCGGTTAAAGAAACAATTTGAAAAAGAAGAACAAACATGAGAGAGGAAATTACACATTAATTCTTTGTGCGAGATTGGTATGAAGAGAGTGCAATGGAATACTTTTTGAAAAGTTAAATAAATTTCAATTGAGATCTACAAAAATTTTAAATTAGGAATACCTGTTCTTGAGAAAAAAACAATGAACAATAATATGAAAGAGCTTGGCGCATAGACAGCAAATCAAAAATCTAAAATTTTGCACCACTTTTCTAAAAGGACTTAAACATTAGAAATATATATATTTTTTTTAAAAAAATTGGACATGGCTCACGTCAAAAACCACACACAGGTTTGATATGGGGGAATATGAGAGTGTGCGCAAACCTCTAGGTACTTGAGTATGTATTATACTATTTAGAGAAATTATAGGGGTGAGATGTGATACCAGATCATGGACCAATGGAGTAATATTATTCTGTTGGTCTGCGACTGCCATACTTCCAATTCATTATCAATAGAATGCAAGACCATCATATGAATCTCACTCGTACATGGACAGACAATGCTAAATACAAATCAAGGGTCAGATTTACAACCATCCTGAAAAAAATGAAAGTAGGTAAAGATCAAAATGATCGAACGTTTTTTCCAAAATGATGAAACGGTTTAAAAGTGCTTCATACACTTAAAAACTTAACAATAAGATTAGCACAATGAAATGCCAAAGAATGAATTACCACTCGGCTTCTGAAATTCCCTCGAGGGGACTTATTTCCGGGACAAGCACACAAGTCGATAGATTAGATGAGTTCAGTCTTTTCTCCACTTTCTTTCACTGGATCAGACGATATCGAGCTTTCACGAGGTAGACAAATCGTGAATTTTTAAAACCACCGAATGCGCGACACGAAAACGGTTTCGGTAGGATACACCATGACCAAATTACAACTTCATTCAAGTAACCTCTGGACAAGGCAGAAGAAATTACTCAAAAAAATAGGAACTAAAACAGACGGCTGTTTGGTCAATTAGAGAGAACGTTGATAGGAAACCTCACGGTTCCTTCGCACTATCAATGCCACAGTTCATTCACCTCGACGGACGAAAATTCGCCTCCGGTTTCGCCGACTACACTTCCTCCTCCTCCACGATGGGCAGGGACGAATGATGCAGGGACGGCGAGCTCCTGGACGTGAAAGCTGAGATCCAAGAATCGAATTCCGCCGGCGATTCCACGATGAAAGTTAAGCTTATGGACTTGTCGAAGCCCCGCTCTCGCACCACGAACCCGAATTCGTTGCTCGATAACCTTTCGACGCAGGTGTTCCTCAGGTTGAGCACGCCCAACGGTCGACACACTTTCTTTTGCGGGTACACAACTGCGAAGTGCTCTAGGGACGTCCTGTACACGATAACTTGTACTCCTTGTTGGATTTTGTCGGGTCCGATCAAGCACATGTAACCGCTCATCGTTTCGCCCGAACTGTAGTACGACTCGGCCACGGTCACCGGCGAAGGAGGACTCATGTAGCTCAGTTTGGAAACGGGCGCTGCTTCTGTCGGCATTTTAATATCAGTCGACATTCTCAATTTATAACTGTGTAGAGTTTCAAAAATTGAATGGTTAGCGGGTTGAGTCACAGGAAACGAACAGCAATGTTGGTTCAGTTCTATGGATCGTAAAGACACAAGCTGTCACTTTAGCACGATAACACTATTGTAATCCAGAATCGTGAGAGGTCAAGGCACACGCGACACTTTCGAATTTCAACTGTAAAAAAATACAAGACAATTTTCTGAAATTCAGATGCGTCAGTTTACTTATGGAGGATCCACGACTCGCACGTCAAGTGTAGCTTGAAGACTGGCGCCGCGGAGCAGAGCGTTCAACTTTTTAACAACTCCCCGCTCAGTCAAATTACCCGCGGTTCCGACGACCAGGAGCTCTGGCGGGAAAAAATGCAAGTTTGGATTTGATATTAACATATGCGCGCAATCTATTGGGAATTTTTCAAACTGTAACACAGCGACACCAGCGTAGTCTAACAGCAATTTTCAAAACTTCAATGACGTTTTATCTATTGTTGACATGTTTTGGAGGTTACGTCAACGAAGAAGTTCGAGGAATTTCCATTGTACGTAGAGAAGTTTAGTCAATTTTAAAATGGGAACCACCTTACTTTCACCTAATTATTGTGAGTAATAATATCCGTAAACTCTAATTTGCATTGAATCGTTTTGTTTCATTTATTTAGCCGTGTGTTATACCGAGAAATGTGAAGCAGTTGTCTCTGTTTGCTTCCTCTCATCATTACCACCAGATTAAAGTTCACATTGCAGCAACTGAGTGCAGTTTGAAGGTCTCATTGCAAAACTCCTATTTTAAAATCACACTCCAATTTTGATTGCATAAAATCCATATCAGCATCTACCGTTTGAAGGCCTACTTGTCTTTAATTTTAAGCATTCAGGAGCTTCTCTCATTTGTGAACCGAAAGTTGTTTTTACAGCCCAGCAATGATTGTCTCATCAAAATTTGGTATGTTATTCCTCTGTTTTACTGAAGAATGCACATCCCTTCAGCCTCTTTCCCTCTCCTATTCTTTTCTCTGCAAGACTAAGTCTGATCCTCCTAAATATTTGGGCAGAAAAAATGTATAGACCTGATTACTTCTCGTTAAACTCTCTTCCTCCCATCTTTGATTGAATCCGATTTTTCACCATCACTCATAAGGCGCATTTTTCAAACTGATTTCGAAGTAAATGTACTAATAATATAAATGCTTGTTGGACAAAGAGAGGGTACTTATACTTCCTGTTTATGTTGGACCACTTTTTGTGTGGACCCTTCCTCAAACCCTAGGTCAAAGTGCTATCCAGATAGAAAACTCCAGATTAACGTATTCAGCTTTAACATGAATCAATGCAAATTAAGGTCCTCACTCAATCCTTTCCAACCAACGTTTCTGGGCAATTATTGTTTGTCAAGAAAAATACAACACACTTCAAGTTTTAGTAAGTAATTGAGGAAAATTTATCCTTTAGGAGTGCAGCATGTAGCATCAGCTCTTTTATTGTGTTAGGTACTCAAACAATAAAAGAGGAAGGAAGAGCAACAGGATGTGCATCATGCTAACATCAATATGAACTGAATTTTGAATATCATACCTCAATTAGCTTTTTAACAAATGTAGCCTCACTGGCATTGAACTACCATATGTTTCTTTTGATTCGTAATTCATTTCTTCAATTGGTGAATTATACCTTTATAATCGCCTTGCCATGGGTTACATCCTCTTTAAAATAGCCTCTCTCGGATACTGATTCTCATGTTTCTCTGTGGCCCACCCACAAAAAAACTGATTCATCGGTTTTTTGTCTCTAAACAATTGTAGGTATCATAAGCTCTAGTACTAATTTGATCAAACTTTTGATTTTCAGTATCCAGACTTTACTCGATCGGAAGAAGATGTTACTCAGAATTTCCAAAGATTACTACTCACTACACCATTTTGCCAAGAGAAAATGACCCTAGATGGAAAGGTAGGGTCAAAGTCCATTGTACTTATCTACAATATAATTAAAAACAATAAAAATATTCACTACTTGTACAAATTTCTATGTATGATTCATCGGAGAGAGGGTTTCAAGTCCACTGTGGTATTTAGATAATCAGCACCTAATTTTGTTACATAATTGAGACCCATTGAATCTCATAACAAGCCTGATGGTGGCATGTCAAAAGTGAACACCCAATCGTCTCATGGCCTCAATATGGTTTCTAATTTATTGCTGACAATATTGCTTGCAAAACAGCTGGGGAGATTTTTTTTTTCACAATTAAAATTTTGCAGTAACTTTTTCAAACTGAAAAAAGCCTGATCCACTTATTTTTCAATTTCAGCAAGCAAAAATTCTTAGTATGGAAGAGGAAACTTTCTGCCAATATTTATTTGTTCATAATTAATTTCTTACGTTTGGTATTTGTAAACACAAGATAATTCAAATATTTTGATCCAATGTCTTGCCAAATTATACTTTATTTTTATTTTTTTCTTGGATGTTTCATTGCAAAAATGACCTTAAATAATAACAGTGATACCTCAAGTGCTAATGTTATTAACTTTGTGTCTTCTATTAAACAGAAGCTGATCTCACAGCTTTTTATTTTTTTAGAGATCGTCATTACTTTCAATTGTCGAACAGTGGTTTTTTCTAAATTTTTGTTTGTGTATTGAAGGTATTCCCAGAAAATTGGTCGATTTTTTACTTGAAGTATATATAGAGAATTTGCAGGTGTCTGAAATTTGATGAATTTCGTCTTTAAGTGGAAACTACTGAGTGAACTTGGTTCACTCATGAACCAAGGAACCCTTTGGTCCATGAATTGAACAAATATTGGAGAAGGTATGACAAAATCTTCTAATCTGCCGAAATACATGTGTGTAAATGGGAAGATGACCAGATGACGTCATCAGGTGGTGCATTTTCTATCTTTTAAATCTATTTTTATACTATTTCCCATATCAGAAATAAATCATAAAAAATACTGTGAAATCAGCTCTTTAAGCACTTTCAGATGAAGCAGTAAAAAATGTGCATGCAAATTCTCCATTGAAACGAAATTTGAAACTCGGCAGTCAGTATTTTTGTATCGCAAGGGGCATCAAGAGGATCTGCTTTTTTTAAGGCTAGAAATGTTTCATATCTGAAGTGTGAGATTTTCATGTTTCTTCCAAAAACTAAACTATTACGTCAATGTCTTTGTTTCCAGATGTCAACATGGAGAGATTTGAGGATGTTGCTGATGTTGTCATAGTTGGAGGTGGTCCAGCTGGTTTATCAGCAGCTATCAAACTTCGCCAACTTGCTGAGGCCAGTGGGAAAGAACTCAGAGTATGTCTAGTTGAAAAGGCTGCTGAAGTTGGTACGTATAGTCTTTTGGAATTCTTTGAACTTCACTCATGCTGCGTTATATTTTCAAAGTTGAAAAGTTATCTTTCAATCCGCTACGTATTATTCCCACTCAAAGTGTAAGCTGATAAGTATGTTTCTCTCTTTATTCCTTTTTAAAACTTTTTTTTTTTTTTTTTTTTTTTTGTGTACAAATAAGTTCATAGTGTCCAGGACTTGGAATAACCAGGAAATACCAGGATTCATCAGGGAATGAAAATTACCTGACAATATCAGGGAATTCCTGCTGGAAACTGGGAATAACCTCTCTCCGCTCTGAGATTTAATAAGAAAAAAGGGGTATCCCTAAGGGATAGAGGGGATCCCTAAGGGGAGGGAGGCGGGGAGGATCCTAAAGGGGTATCCTTAAAATCGGTGATTCCAGTTTTGCCTCAGTTTCAAATAATTAAACAACAGGTAGGTAGATACAAAGGTGGTTTTTTTTTTTTTTTGCAATTTGAATAAAAATCTCATGTTTTCCTGGAGAATGAGTGGAAATCATGGGCTTTCACTAGGGAATTTTTTTTGTAAAAGTAAGGAAATAATCAGGAATGGAAAAAACCATGAATACATTTTTACCACAAAATATAAGCAGTGTCATTTGTAAATATTGTATAATCTAATCTGTCCTTCTGTTTATAGGTGGACACATTTTATCGGGTGCTGTGATCGATCCGATCTCTCTAAATGAGCTAATACCAGATTGGAAAGAGAAAGATGCACCTTTAAAAACTCCTGTTACCACCGATAAATTTGCCTATCTAACAGAAACTGGTCGTTTCACAATACCAATCATGAAAGGTAAATTATTCGCCTCTTCTATTTCAACTATATTTTTCTAAACTTTCAAATGCTCCTTATGAAAAAAAGTAATTAAACAAGTTCTCAGTTATTCTAGATAATTAGAAGTTTATATTATCAAGCTATTTTACCAGTGAGTGTTTTTGAAATTTCTTGATTTTTACTCAAACCTAAATAGTTATGCTGTGTTATATTTTTCTAATTGAAAAGTTATTTTAAATCCACTAAAAAGTATTCCCATTCCAAATGTAAGCTTGATAAGTCTGTTTCTCTTTTTATTTCTTCTCAATAAATCCGTCAACTTCAATCTTTCTTTTATTATGTTTGTTTGTTCACCTGTAGGTATGCCAATGGATAATCATGGAAATTACGTTGTTCGACTTGGACACGTTGTAAGGTGGCTTGGAGAGCAAGCTGAGGCTCTGGGTGTAGAAATCTACCCAGGATATGCTGCAGCAGAAGTTCTTTACCACCCAGATGGCTCTGTCAAGGGAATTGCAACCAATGATGTTGGCATTGCCAAAGATGGTTCACCAAAGGTATTTCTAATTTGTTCCTATTCAAATATTTTTTTTTTACTTTTTCGCTCCCCTTGCAGATAGAGGAAGTATTGTCATTTTTCAACAAAAAAAAAATCGAAATTTCATCATTTTTAGATATTACACATCTACACAGTGACAACTTTAGAATCCAATAAAATGTACAAATTTGTGAAGTCAGAAAATTTTGCCATCGAAACTTTACTTTTCTTGTCCAGTTGAAACCCTTGCATGGCTCTGATCACTTTTTGTTTGTTTCCTGAATCGCATTCTCTTGTCAAAAATCTTTGAAATGTCAGAAACATATCTGGATATTTATTGGAAGGAAATCATGAAATGTCTAAATTCCAAGAAACTTGAAACAAAAAAATATTGGTTAAGCATTCTGATAAACTTGCTGAAGCTGGAGTACTTCTCAAAATATTTATCGACTGCGTAAGTCCGCAAACACATATCTCGTTTGCGGTGTCTGAAAATCTCCGCCTCCATGTTATGTTTTTAAAGGAGAACAAATTAACATCACTCCTGGAAGTTTTTGCAGAATTTTCTCCGCACAGAGAAAAAAAATCACGGCAGTTTTAAAAAATTTCCGTTAAGTAGTTTTCCGTTTAAAAAATAAGGTATGACAGGAAGTCTGTGACGTCGCAAACCAAGTTATGTGATTCTGAACTTAAACTGTCGTTATGTTCTGAAGTTAATGTATTTTTTCGAAGTTTCATCAAAGTTTAAACCGTCACCTTCCAGGCAAAGTATCACAAGCGCCATGCGACGTTTAAAAATTTCCGCCGCCATTATATTTTTTTACAGAGAAATTGTTCAACGAACCTGTCCGAAAATTACACCGAATTTTCTTTGTGCTGCCGTTAAAATTTAGTGAAATTTTCGAACAGATTCAACCAACAATTTCTCAGTAAAAAAATAAAATGGCGGCGGAAATTTTTAAACGTCGCATGGCGCTTGTGATACTTTGCCTGGAAGGTGACGAAATCTTGATGAAACCTCTACAAATCTTACTATTAAGCCAGGGATTATGAGAAAGTCACTTCTTATGTTCTTTGATTTTTTCTCTTTTTTTACTATTTTTAAACCAGAGGAAGCATCTAATCCATCATCTGCTCATCTGCTTACATTTAGTCCACTCTCAGATTGGTAGATTGCATCCAAGAATACTCAACTTTTTTTTTTTTATATACTTCAAGTACCCCATCCTTAGTAGTGAGGAGGTAGCCCCTGTGTTGTATCCCTGTTGTTTTGTGTCTGTGTTTCCCTGTCCCTACTGTTATCTGCACATTACTATCTATCAGACTTTAAAGCACAGATAATTTTCAAGCAGATTTTTCCCAACCATCGTCAAAATAACCCACATGCTATTTGGTTTCCAACTTGTCTTTTTCTTTTCTCACTGAACTGCTTTATCCAGTTTGACGCATTTCATTTCTTTTTTTACTCAGGATGCATTTGAGAGAGGGATGGAGCTCCATGCAAAAGTGACTATTTTTGCGGAGGGCTGTCACGGGCATCTCACAAAACAGCTTTTCAGTAAGTTTGATCTGAGGAAGGAGTGCGAACCTCAGTCCTACGGTATTGGCTTGAAGGAAGTTTGGGAAATCAATCCTGACTTGCACAAGCCTGGAACTGTCGAGCACACAATTGGATGGCCCTTGGTAAGTGTTCTAAAGAGAATTTAGCATCGATAGAACGTGTTCATCAGAATAGCTTCTCTTTGGATAACAAAAGTAATGCTTGAATATGAATGAGTGAATGAACAGGGTGTCTACTGTACAGAAACAGTAGGGATACACTGAAAAAGCAAATTGCGGAAGGTCGGTATGGGAATTCGGGATTTTTATGTCAAATTCTATGAAGTAGCCTTGAAAGTATGCAATTTCCTAACATAATTCATTTATCAAGTTCCCGGCCTGATTCCTCATGTTTTTTGGTTTATTCCTTTATCATTCTATTATTTCAATCTCCCAATCCGAATATGATTGAAAATGCGTATGAGGTGAGGAAAGAGTAAGGGTAAGGTAATCTAGGATTTTCGAGAATTGCCAGAAAAAGGAATTTTCAGAAAAGTAAGGAAAATGCACTGGAAAAGCAAGGACTTTTAATGACAGGGTCTGTACTAGTAGACACCCTGATAAACCAAAAACGCGCCCTAAGTTTTGGCATTTTGTGCTCAATACTTTCTTTTGTTGTCTTTGTGGAGAAAGGTTGAAGGCTAGGTTTGAGGCTTATTTCTGTTGTGAAGAACGTATTGCACCTCTGGCTGAATAACCTATTTACATCATGTGTATGACTTGTATGCAGTAACCAGAAAAATATGTCCTCAAGGATAGAAGAAAACGCTCCAAGAATTCACCGAAGTGGTTACTCATAAAACCATAGCTCTTCAGCCAATTTCTCATAGTTTTGCGATCTTCTGCTTCTCCGATTTTCAATATTTTTTTTGCTTCAAAGAAGTCGTATGTTTGCATTTAAAATTGTAATCAACTGGAAAAATTCTCAAGCCAATGCACTGCCTGTAGTGTTTTTACTTTGCTGGAATTGAAGTAAAATCAGTACATATGTTGCAACTTGCTCAGAAATCTGTAAAAGAAAAAATTTTGCATGTTTAATCAAGGAGTATTGAAGCATCTAATACTCGAGTACATATCTAAAGGTTGGATAAACATATTTGTAAGTTTATAATTTATCCGTAATGCCTGTTTTTCTGGGTCTTTCTCTTGTTGTGCATAAGACAAACGTTTGCACGTAATCTTCAGATAATCGGTAAAAGTCTTCAAAAAGCTACAAAACCAGCTAGACTTAGCAGAGATAGGTCGAAAAAAGATAATTGTTAACAAAACTGCATTTCTAATCCATAAATTAGACAACAAATGTAGTGTATGTCAGATCTAATATAGCATGCATAGCACTCATTAGATTTCAATCCTCTTTCTTTTCAATAACATATTTTGAGTTTTGAAGTTTTTCATTCTTTGTGGAAATTTTATACTCACACTTAAAAGTAAAGATGGTGTCATGCTGAATAACTGCAAGATTGAAAACTTCATCTTCCTTTGAATTAGTTGTAGAGAAAACATTTCCAGCTATAAATAAGTAAAATGGATGAGTTTTAAGTTATGTATCTGTCAGGTACTTCATAAAAATGTATGGACAAATACAGATAGATTGATAAAACACTTATCAGAGACTGAGCGAGAGGGTATATTTGAATCATGAGACTTGTTCCATCCACTTACATAAGCATATTGAACCACTAAAAGTAGGATGAAGCTCAGTAATGTAGCATTAGATGCTGGTATTCACATTAAAGTTATTATCTTACAAATTGAATCCAAACAAAAATTGAATGATGAAATTCCTCCTGATGCCAATCATCAAAATCAACTCAGGTATATTTGTAATCACTAATCGCCAATTTAGAATTTCTTTCTCTTTTTCTTGGAGAAATGAGATCTTACCTCGTCAGCAACCAAAGGTGGCATTTTAGCATCCAACAAGTCATGAATAATTGTAGAGATATTATTACCCTGGAAATATAAGAAATTACAATGAATTTTGTAGCTAATTACCATCGTGAATAATAAGGTGCTTCTCCCTTCTTTTATCTCATTATCATTCATACCCGTTCTACATTTGAACACCAAATATCTCAACAATTACAATTGAATCTCAAGGTGATTTAAAATAAGAACTCATAGTTAATGCTTTCAATGGTTAAAGATTGAGCATCCAAGATTTCTTATTTTATGGTATGGGAAATCAAACGTTTCCATCTTAAATTACCATTTCAAAGCAGCAGAAACAGCTACCTAGCTGTTACATTTCTCTAGGCAGTGGTGCAAATAAGTGTACTTATCCTTCAGTGAAGGATTATTCACTCATTATTCAGAGTTTCCTCCGTTGAATAATGATTAGCATCTATTTAGCCTCTTTTTTAAAAATTCGTATAATCACTTTGTGCTGAGTAAAACAAGTTGCATTTGCACCAAATTTCCAAAGTAGTAAAATTTTGTGAAATTAATTCGTGCGTAAAATCCTGCATACTCTCTGAATTATTGACAAAATCATTTCACCTCACACGCAGTCTTCGTGGATGAAAATATGAAACTGCCGACAGAGTAGTAGTTGGCCCAAAGAAAATTGGCGTAGAAGATCAAAGTTCCAATTTTCGATTTCCTTTGAGATTTAGGTACCAGGAAAGCTATGATGATAAAATAGAGAGGAACCACTGAATAGGCTGTTATCCGTGCCATAGATATCAGTGCCTCACAGCTGTAATAGAGACTAATTTTTTTGAAAGTGTGGCAAATCTCAAAATGTACTCGGTTTAAATAAAGCACTTTTTCTCGTAGAGCCACACCCTGTTCATGAGGACTTTCTGTACCTGGAATAAGTTCATTAGAAAAGTCAAGATCCTCATGAGATGTAGTATAAATTTCTCTCTGAATTCTAGCCTTTTGACTGTTGGAACGATGTAAATGTGTTGTCTGAGCATCTTTTTCTAACATGTCAATCATCTCCGCCAGCTTCTCAATTTCATCATTAACTCTCTCAAATTGCCTGTGAATTACATGTAGATCTTTCTTTACTTGGAATGCAAGGATTAGCACTACGTAGTAACTGAACTGAAGCAACAGTGTCGTTGTTGTTTTAAACAAGTAACCTTCCTTTCTTGCCCACAGAAATAACACATGATAAAGAATTCCAGTAGAAATCATGAGAATAATTTGTTTCTGCTCTACTTTTATCCTGTTATCAGCAGACTCCTTTTGATCTTGAAATTTACTGTCAAGCATATAGTTCACTTTTTCAACACCCATCTGGATCTGTTGTTTCGTGGTTTGAAAAATTAACGGCTTTAGCAAACTTGTTATGATGAAAACGTAGTCAACCGCTTTAAGCATCAATGATATTAGGAAAAAAGCTTTCTCGACTTTATCATCCAAGAGCATCTCCTGAAACGCAATGCAAAAGTCTACTGTGGAGCACACAACCAAGAATATTGTGTAAATGTAGTTCCATTTGGATATTTTTACACTCTTTTCGAAGGCAAAAGGATTTAGCCCGAAAAATTTTGTCACATAGTGGAATAATTTTGATTGGTTTCTTAAGGTCATTTTAAAGTAAGCTGCAAGCAACGAAAGCTTGATGAAAATGAAGTTCGATTTTCTAAGCTCTCTCAGTTAGCTCCTGAAACAAAATGATCTCTTCTTTATTTGATCTCCTTGTTATCCTTCAAAAAGCACCAAAATAATAAACTGCAATACTGTCCTGAATGTCTCACGAGTTCACACAAAATTATCACCTGGACTGTCCTATGGAAATAGGAACATTCTCACTGAATTAGTTGTAGAAAACAAGTTCATTAATTCCCTTAATGTAGTCAACAATGGTTTCCTCCACCTAACTCTTGAGCTTTCAAGGTCCACTGGGTCTGAATGAGTTCAACTTTATCAAGTTGGCATGACAAGCTGTTGGAAGCTTTTGCATTAATATTTAATGAGTCTGCCTGATGGGTATTCTCATTCTTCCCTTACAGCTTAAGCAAATAGATTTTTGGAAACATTATTTTATCCTTTTTTCTTTTTCTTTTTGCCCTGTTGGAATCTATCTGCATTGGAATTCATACCATTATTTCACCTGGAAGCATCCTCTGAGTGAGGAAGCACTCATTAAACTTTGAGTTCTAATCTAGTTGGTAGGGCACAGAGTAACTCTTGCTTCTAAAATTTACCATCCTAATTTCCATTTAAAGAAACTCTGTCCAGGGTAATTTTTTGTAATATCTATGAATTACTCTGGAAAATTAATTAATTTTCATAAACCATATCAATTCTCATCATCACTTTCTCCTCCTCTTTTTTTTTCTTTTCTTTTTTCCTAATTCTTTTTGTACCTTTTTTTATGCGTGGATTTTAAATGCTAACTTTTTCATTTCAGGACTTCAAAACTTATGGAGGCTCTTTTCTGTATCATCTGAATGAATCAAGTCCTCTTATTGCTGTAGGTTATGTTGTTGGTCTTGATTATTCCAATCCTTATCTTAGCCCATTCAGAGAATTCCAAAGATTCAAACATCACCCATCTGTAAAGTCTCTTTTAGAAGGTGGTAAAAGGTAAGCCCTGCTTTTTACTTCTCTTTTCCCAAAAAAATAAAATTCTGGCGTCATTGTTGACAAATCGCAAGTAAAATTATCCATGAAATCCTCCATGAATTATTTGTTTATTTGGTTCAACTGCCGGTTTTTCTTATGAAATATTTATTTCATATCATTATTTACCACTTTTCTTTTTCCATCATGGTTATAATTCCATCCAAAATTTGAGAAAAATCATCAAAGAAGCAGAGATATAGAAAATCTTCAAACGCCAACTATTGTCTATAATCCACCGCTTTTGTCTCAAAGTCCCTCTGATTTACTTCACTGAAAAATATTGGATCCAATGGCGAAATTCCTCTCACTTTATCTTGAAATTTTGAAAAATATTCTGCACAAGGTGACTAAGACTCCCAAAAAATGTGCAAGAATTAATGTTGGTTTTTCCTTCCTCTTAAAAAATAAAATTCACATGTGAAAGAAATTTTACATCGCTCCTGTGCAGCTTGCTCTTTCGTTTATTTTTAATGTTGACCCTATTTCAATAAAACTCCAAGGAGCCTCCAATACAAAGATTGGATGACTTTTTTCTCTCTTTTTTTCAATTAAATTGAATTTGTTACATCATTCCCCGCTAAAAGTATTTAATCGGAAGTAGTGCCATTGCATTCGGTATTTTGATTATTTATCAAACATCTCCAACCCATTTGATTTAATCATACATTTTATTGAAAGAAGTCAATTTAAGCTTCTCCTCTTTGATGTACGCAGGATAGCATATGGGGCTCGAGCCTTAAATGAAGGTGGTTACCAGTCGATACCAAAATTAACTTTCCCTGGTGGATGCCTGATTGGTTGTACTGCTGGTTTCTTGAATGTACCAAAAATTAAAGGAACACACTATGCAATGAAATCAGGGATGCTAGCTGCAGAGAGTGTCTTCAATGCTGTTACAGATGAAAATTTAGCCTCTGAAACAGAAGGTTTGTAAAGTTGGATTCCCTGTTAATGAGTTGTGTCCTGAATTTATTGCCATTCGTCCCGGGTTCTTGACATGGTCAAACTGGCATGCAATTAATAGCATAGATTAAGTCAAAAATCTTGGCAGATGTTGACTCTTTAGCCTAAAGAGGGACAATAGCCTCTTTGCATGAGTCTTGAGTATCATTCTGAACCAAAAAATTTGAAAATTCTTGGAAGTGAAAATAGGATTTGTCCATATGAGAAATGTCAAATTTGATACAGTGGTGGACCTCTGCATCGAATGCAATTTTTTTCCCCCAGACAAATCCTGCTTTCCTTTTTCCAAATTTTGAAAAATTTTGTGGGTGAAAATGATTCTTTGGACTCATGCGCAGGGACTATTGTCCTTTACTTGCCTAAGAAGTTAAGATCTGTCGAGACTTTACCCAATTGATGCAATGTATCGCACGCCAGTTTAAGCACGTCAAGAACTTGGGACAGATCACCAAAGTCCCATTTAAAACTTTAACATACACCATCTTTGTGGATTTTAAGTAATTCCTTGAGCAACATTTTGACTTTTATGTACACATACCTATTCTCTTCATTCAATGTGATTAGAAAATCTTCATCTAATTTACTTATTTATAATACCACAAATGAAACATTTGTAAATAATATGTAAAATAATCATGTTTCTATATGTGCACATTCATTCCAGAACATTTTCCACCTGAAATACGTATTTTTTGCCAAAATTATTCATGTGTTTGTTTCAATGCAGAAAGGAAGTGAGTATTTTCATTCATTCTATCGTCACAAGCTGTAAAGCAAGACATTTGCAGGTGTATTCTAGCAAAAAAAAAAGAAAAAACCTCTTTTCATCCTCTTAGAGATCAAAGTCATTTTGATTTTGTATTGTAAACTATCTGTCACTGCACTGACACTATGTTTTTCAAAAATGAACTCAAAGGTAATGATCAAGAGAAATGTGAGTTCAAAAGAATAAAAAGCAACATAGCAATAAAATTATCTTTGATCACAGAATATTGTCTGAGCTCTTCTGTTTTTCTATTAGACTGTCTTAAATGGAAACTTTATTTGTTTTTACAGGGATAGAACCAAAAACATATGAAGAAAGTATTAAGAATAGCTGGATATGGTCAGACCTGAAGAGTGTACGAAATTGTAGGCCATCATTCCATACAGCTCTCGGTCTGTATGGTGGAATCGTTCATAGTGGCATCAGTGTTATGTTGAAAGGCAAAGAGCCATGGACTCTAAGTCATGGAGGTAAGTTAATATCTTGTTGAGCAAGTTGAAAATTTTTTAAGGAAAATCAGTATCAGGTAATTATGTAATAAATTAAGAGAACAAAAGAGTGTTTAATAATCTCTTGAATTTTGCTATCACTTGATACAACCATTTAAACCAGTCTCTGTGAGCTCAATTGATCTGGATTCATCATTATTCTTGTCCTCTGTTCTTGGGTGAAGCAGTCTGGAAAGCATACAGTTCATTCTCTTTTTATCAAAGCTCTATCTGGCACAAGATTTATTAGGGAATAATGAATTCTAAGCTGCTGTTTTTTGTTTTATGTCAGAACCCTGTTGCTTCAGACCACCCCTTTATCTCCAGAAGTATCCTATTATCTCCTAGCCGAAAATGACTCAAGTTTAGAAACACAGTTCAGTAATTTTTTTTCTTATTCTGAAATAACTGTGTTACAGTTTTGTTGGGATGATTTTCATTTATTAGAAAAAAAGTCAAGAAAACCTGGTAAATAAATGTTCAATTCAGAAGTTGGTTGCACATACTCAGACAAAAATATTGAATAAAAAAAATCTTTCAAAAAATAAAAATTTAAGGAGTATAATATGTTTTCTCAGCTGTCGTATATTAGTCTGATCATGTCTTTGCTAGCCCTACCACTACTTGCTTAAATGTTAATCCAGCTGATTTGCTTTTAACAGAGCCTGACCACGCAAGATTGAAACCAGCAAAGGAATGCCAGCCGATAGAATACCCGAAGCCTGATGGTGTCATAAGTTTTGATCTTCTCTCCTCTGTAGCACTGACAGGAACGAATCATGAGGGTGATCAACCTCCCCATCTTACCTTAAGAGATGACACTGTACCTGTTAAGAATAATTTAGGAATTTATGATGGACCAGAAGGCCGATTTTGTCCTGCAGGTTTGTAATTATTGATTTCTTTTGTTTTTCAAATAATAATTTATATAACCATGTAAACTGTAGGAAAAAATCCAAAAAATTCAGATTGATTATTTGCTCCAAAAAGGACAATATGTAGCCAAAACTTGTTGAAACAATGACTGGTCCAGCTAACTTGAGCACAATGTTTATCGTGTCTTTATCTGCAGAAATTGCTTCTGAAAAATACTATAATTTGCCCATGTAGACTTTTTTGTAAGATCAAATAAGTGGTACAGCTAATCAAGAATGTGAAAGTCCTCAGAAAGCTTGAAAAACTGGCCATTAAAGGCAAATGGAAAGATACTTTAAATTTGAAAGAAAACATGATAATTCTTATAACAGAAGTTGTTTATTCACCGGTAATTGCCTCCTGAATAATTTTTCTATTTTTTAAACCAGGTGTCTATGAGTATGTCCCACTTGAAGAGGGCGATGGCCAGAGATTGCAAATCAACGCACAAAACTGCATCCACTGCAAAACCTGTGATATCAAAGATCCATCTCAAAACATCAACTGGGTTGTTCCAGAAGGTGGTGGTGGCCCTGCCTACAACGGCATGTAAACTTTACTGATTTTCTGCTCACCAATGTATTCTCATTTTTACATCAATTTCTTTTATCGAATTTTACAGTTGTTCATGAGGGCAAACCGACTAGTACAAATTTTTTCCCCTTATCATTCCCTTATTCATCCCTTTCTTTTCAACCCCCTAAAAATCATTGTTTTTCAGTTCTACCCTATGCATTTCATGAAACCTCACAGAAACTCATGATATTTTATAAGTTTGAGGAAACTCACAAGAAATCTTACTCGAATATTTCATTGCCTTCTACTTTACCCATATTGTACAGTGCGTATCCTAAGGAATATTAATGAATTGGGACTTGCAAAAAATCATGTTCCCTGAAATTCTTTGCTTCCATTTTACAACAATGTCCTTCGCAAATTGATTCATTCAAAATCATTTTTAAGAATATTTTGAGCTCAATGGTGCCATCAAAGATTTTATTATGCCAGTGGAATCTCATCTGACTAATGTAAAAAAAAAAGTTGAGTCTCACAGACAATGTTCTTTACGCATGAGTGTGCTTCAATAATGCTCTTCAGGTGTGCGCCTCTGTCTTACGATGGCTCAGATTTTTTTTTTCTTGCCATATTTTTCTGAATTAAAAGTGTGTCGTAACTTTTTTTATCAATTGAAAGTAACACACAAAAGGAAATTTAATGGTGTTAAATAATTTTAAAGAAGACTTATTGAAGTATTTTTAATATTTCCAAGTGCAAAATGAGGAATACTTTTTTTGGCATCTTATTAAATCTATTATTCAAATGAAATTTACAATGGATGAAGCATTAAAAGCATTCTCCCAGGTTTAAGCGTCTTTATTTAAGTTTTACTGAAGTATTTTCTTGTAAACTACCATTTCCTTCCTTCTTGAGAAAAATGTCTGTGTCCAAATTCTGCACATTTTCTGTACAAGCCTTTGAAAACTTATAAGAATACATGTGGACAGTTAAACTGCAGGAATGCGTATCTTGTTTGCCTCGTTTCAAAATCTCTGGTCCTCTTTTATTTTATCTAAGGAGAAGAAAAATCATTGAAGTCTTCACGAAATGATTTTCAGTATTTCTTAATTTAAAAAATGAAATATGGCAGGAAGTCTACAACATCGCAAACCGAGATATGCCTTCCTGCAGTTTCACAGTCAATACGTAGAATGGCCATTTAGCCATTAACTGCTCCTGGCAGCAGAATATTGCAACTAATATTTTATTATTTTCCACAAAGTATCAGGTATCAAGGCTGTAAATCCATGACAATTTTTGGAGTTAATCTTTTCCTTACAGATGGAACAATCTGCCAGATTGTAAGTAGCTTTTGCGTAATCAGTCAATCAAGCAAAGCACAGCTCACAGATTAATCCAACGAGCTATTATTATGTGATTTGTATGCATTGTGGTTTTTAGTCGGTGATGGAAGCTCCAATAACATTTATGTAACCTTGGTTTTGGCTTGACAACAATTATCAAATGTCTTGCAACTTGAACCCCATGGAAGCAATTGTTGACTTTTATATTTACAAGTGATTACCATTCTTTCTCAATTGAAACGAACCTGTTGTTGTTATTAGAATTCAATAAAATGTTTTCTATGTGTGGAAACGAACGGAGCATAAAGACTTGATTAGATTTAATTATTTTAAAATAAGTTTGCTTGTTGTTACAATATCAGATTTTTACATTATTTTTGTACAGTAGATTAATTGATCGTCTGTGAATGTTTTTGTATCCTACAAAATAAATAATCTATTTTTGAAAAATGAAAAATAAAAATGTTTTCTCTTCCTCAAAAGAAAAAGATTGGTCCTACAGGTCACTTACAGCCGGCAAATTACCATGGTATACCTAACTAAGTACTCTCTGTCTCTCTATGCAATGTACATGGAAAAATCAACTGATGAGGTATTCTTTCTGATAGAGCACATTAATGAAATTTAAAAAAAAAAAAAAAAAAAAAAAAAAAAAAAAACTATTGTATGTTATTCTCATTTAAATGAAAACCAATCCACTACATACTCAGTATTCAACACTTTCAATGATCTTACTCTCTCTATCAAAATAGTTCTCTAAAAATTTTATGTACAAACATTGGTTGGTTTATTCAAAAAAAAAGGGAGGGGGGAACATATTTTACATCTCAGTTTTCTTAATCATGTTTTTATTCAAATCAAAAATAATTTGTCTTAAAACATTCACGTCACATAAAAAAACATATATATACATACAATCTTTAAACATTTAACAACTTGAGTTAAAAACTGTTTTTACAGGGATAAAATTGTGCAACTGAATCCAAATTGCTATGTTGTCACCTGGAGTCTTGATAATTATCACAGCCGTTTTCCATTTCTAATTCTTCATTGTCACAGTCACCATCAGAATCAATTTCACCGCACAAAAACAAATACCTTGAATTGGCATCCGCTTGTCTACTAGAGCTAGGATTGTCTGAGGTTTCATGATCTCCAAAATCTTCTTGAGATGGTTCTGATTTCACTTGGAATTCAGCTGTGAGGTTTTCATCTTCCATATTAGTCTCAGTAACAGATGAGTCATCTCCGTGCTTCTTTTGGAGGCTTTCAAAGTAATCATCTAGACGGGAAAAAAAAGAGAACCTTGACTTAAATAAACAAGAAGTAAATTTGGACTCATAGGTAATGACTATTTTTGGACTAACAATAAGAATCAATCTGAATTGGCTAGGGAGAATCAATTCAATGTTAAGATCCAATCAGAGGAATCTATCTTTTGAAAGAAACATCCAACAGATCTGACTTTCACCACCAATTTTAGAACTAGGCAATCAAGTACACATGCCCAAATCGCCACAAATCGATTTGATACCCTCGATTCAATCTTGTTTTGATCTATGATTTTGCAGGAAAAACGGAAGAGATCGGATTTCTCATGAATGAAAAGAACATTAGTATTGCCATAAGTGTGTTTGCTAAGAAAGACCCTCTCCTTTCCAAAAATTTGTACGGCTAATTCGCTGATTGAAAAGAGATATTGAGGAAAAATCGATTCTGATTTAGATTCAGAGGAAAAAGAATCAATCTCGGTGAAAGTTAAATCTAAGAATTGTCACCACTACTAACAGGATAACTTTTCTAGGCTAGTTTTCTTAATTTGAGATAAAAGGTTTGAGAATACTACACATTCTGATTCAAAATTTTAGTTAGGAAAAAAAAACTTTTGAATCTTTTCTGAAAATGTTGAAAAATAAATTCACATGACTGGGCTGGAATAATTTAGAACTACCGGGGTTCCTTTTCAACAGTTAGAGAATTTTGGCATCCTTGACACTTCCTAAAGCTGGGTGCACACTAGAGCGTTAATGATGAACAAACTGAATGAGCAACCATGAGAGACTGCTCGAGTCGTGCGGCAAGTGCAGACGGATCTTTGAACAGCTCGAGCGTTTCTCACGCACGAGCGAGCGAGCCGAACAGCATCGAAAGCTTTCGATGTTATTCAGATTGTTCACGCATTTTCCAGCCACAAACTGCTGATTTTTACCACCTTAAGTGCACTAGGTTGACTTTTTAGTTAAGATGGGGAGCCATCAAGTGGCAACCAGTACTTTTTTAATTGTATTTAAGTTGTTAAAAGAGAAGAAAAAGTCTTTTCCGCACTTTTGGATGAGAAAGTTATATAGAGAGCGTGACAATAATTCGTACATGAGGGATATGGACTTCTTCCCTTTTCAAAATTTTGTGCGCATGAGTTCACTTGATTTTGAGAAACTGCTCAATTTAACTGGGCTGATAATTACGAAGCAGGTGACCAAAATCCATGAACCAATTCTGTTATCCAACCGACTAGCAGTCACACTGAGATTCCTAGTACCAGGAAACTTATACACAAGTTTGTAGTACTTGACAAAAATATCTTCATCCGATCTGGTGCGGAAGATGATCATCTTCGCGCTCGCGGCGTTCTCGTGAAAAAAGATCAGCTCGTTCTGTTCCTCGCATTTACAGGACTGAACATGTTGAGTACGTGCTCAAACTGCTCACTGCAGCGCTCGGCTCATTCAGTTCATTTGTCAAAAACGCTCTGGTGCTCACCCAGCTTAAGGTATTGTTTCCTCACTAAGTATCATCTTTCTATAGTCCGCACAATTACGCTTTGCTTTGATCACACGATAAACAATACAATAGGTTCGACAACTTGATGCTCTGCATGTAATATGTTTTAGCCGGAAAGAAAATTAGCAATGTGCTGAAACTAAACTTATATAGATGCTTAAAACCACTTTATCCATGCTAATACATGTAGTAAAAAATTAAGATTACCTGGTTCAATGGTCTCATAGGCGTATTTGTGATCTTTTAATACCATATGAATTGTGGGGTATTCTATGACAACTTTTCTCGTTAAATTTGAACGCAAGGTCTCTTGATGATCAAGTTCAAAAAATCTGCAAAAGGAGAGAATGGAAATTTTAGAAGAATACCTACATAAGATGTATCACTACAAATGATTACATAATGTCCTTTAGTGAATGGTTACTTAACAAAAAAAATAGGTACAGACATAACATTACTGCGAATCAATCATCGCACTGTGCGATGAGATCACAAAAAATGAAACAGCAGAAGAATACGCAACTGATCTATTGTTATTTTGGAAGGAGGGGGACGCCCTGGCGCCAGGAAAATACATACCCAAAACATTGAGGCAGGCAACAGATTCAAACTCCCAAAGAGTAGTGGGTAATCAACTTTTACTAGATAACCACCTAATTTTACAAATAAAATACTATAAGTAAGACTTACTTTTCTCCAGGCACATTTTCAGCTTTCAATAAAAACGACACTCCATTTAAACCAGCTGATTGATAAAACTGAAGTTTTTCTTTAAGTTCATCTGGGCAACTTGCTTCATCCATAAATCGATTTGCTAACGTTGCTAATTTGTCACTATCTGCATTCCTGTACATGAAAGAGAAGAAAAAATAAAATGAAATTCTCTTAAGTTGAAATGAAGCTTAACTACTACGGCAGAATTGTCAATTTATTTCAAGGATAATGAAGTATGTGAGAAACTCATCAGTTCATACCAAAATATAGTTCATGGTTACAAAATTCAAGTCATACTTTTAGCTTTGATATTCAGTCAGCTTATAAGATAGGTTAACCATACATAAATCACTTTTTCTATCCAGTTCCCATTATCGACTGAATTATTTTTTCAACATAGTTTTTCCATTCCTTCTCGGAACAGGTTAAATGTTTACATTAATACAGCGTTACTTGCAAGACAATGCCCTTCCTTATTTTTTTCCTCTTCTGAACATTGCATTCTTTCGTGGTTTGAACATTGTATACATTACAAAATGTATCTACTTTACATATCTTGTGTTATCATTTAATACACTGGCAACTCTAATACAAATCACAAAAGCTTGAATTATAGAGAATGTATTTTCACGGACGCGATGAAAAAAATTAGGTTTCATACGAAATCAGAAGTTGTTTTGAGGGTATTATAAACGAGAGCCAAAAAGGATTTAATTCTTTTTAAAGCTTGTCCCCCCCCCCCACCCTTTCAGTAGAGGCATTCAATAATATTTCTGTCGATTAAGGTGTGGAATAATGACATGAAACTACCAGACCACGAATTTCGGTTAGCAATATTGCAGACTTTCTGTCATACATTATCTTTTAAATGGAAAACTACTCAACGTCAATTCTTGAAAACTTCCATGATTTTTCTTTTCTGTGTGAAGAAAACTCTGTGAAAACTTCAGGGAATGATATTGATTTGCTCTCCTTCAAAAAAGTAAAATGGGAGCAAAGATTTTTAAATACCGTAAACAAGATGCGTGGTCTCTAAGCTTCACCATCAATATTCATTTTAATATTTGAGAGTGAGCATCAAAAGTGAAAGTTTGGGAAACTCTAGATATTATAACAGTAATATGGAAGTACCTCCTGGTAAAATGTACTAAATTTTCAGCCTGGGGAAAAATCCACTCTATGCAAAAGAAAATGACATCTTTTTTTTGATCATGGTATAAGGAATTGTTTTTGCGTTTGGTGAAATGAGTGGGCAAAAACTTCAATTGGATTCCTCGGCGCCAAGCAGCATTTCTCTGTCTCTTCTGTTTCTGTAACAAGTAAAGATGAAACAGTCATAATTAAATCAGGACTCAATAAAAGCAGAAATGAAAGGAAACGGTAATGTGAATTGCGAATGGGTAGACCGGAAATCACCAGAAAATTTATGTTCCTGAGGCACTGTGATACCAGTTGAGGGTAATTTTAAATTGGAAATACTTTTAAGTTGTTTAAAGTATTTTCTAAGCTATATTAGGGTTACACAAACTGTATTGAGATTTTCCGCTTTATGATGATTTATAAGGCACCTTGGCTAAAAAAATTCCAACTTACTATGCTAGGGTTGTTCAAAAAAACTGGAGGATTAGATATTAATATTCCACATACAATTTCTTCATGCCTAATTGTCCTTGTAGAACACCCTAAAAAATGGATGGAAATTTCACTGCAAGCAGTGCCACAAAAGCTATCGGTGCCATGTCTCACAGTCTTCTGGGTCTAAAAAGTGACTTTTCTGGTTACACATATATCTTGAGGAGACCAATTTTTTTTAATATATATAAATCTAGCGCTTTACCTTTTTGACCACATTTAACGCGCAAAAAATGCATTTAAAGAGGAACATCCTTGTCCCCCAAATAAACTAATGTAATTTTTCACGGTAAAACGGCAATGTCTGGTATGTCTGCACTTGATCTATGAGGCTGAAATACAGAGGTCTCTTTTGGGACCCTTTTAAAAGATAAGTAAATACCTTTAAAGTATGACTATTGTAACTTCTGGTTTCTATAAATGACCCTACTCTCCATGGTTCTCAATTCACGATTTGACAAGTCTTTAAAAATTATTTGGAACATGCACATCTGGATTAAATACAGAAGCTTGGTTTCATGATTCTAGAATTTTCAAGTGTTAAATTATGCGAAAAAGGCTGAACAGTTCAATTCTTGTTACAAAATACAATGAAAATAAGTAAATACTACAGTTCAATGGAGGGATTCTGTATTAGATTTCGTACATGACACAAATTCGTTAAGGCATAAACCTTTGTTTCCAATTTTAATGTGAGAAGAAGGAAAAGGGAATTTGAAACATTTGGAATGACTTACAGGATTGTAGTTAGCGTAATAAGGTTGAAAACTTTGAAATCTCAAAGGATTCTTGACTAATTTGTGTTTGGCGAATTTTTCAACAGCTCTGGTGGTTTCTTCCAATAAGATGTAATCTACAAATAGAAAAAAAAAACAATAGATGACTTGACTATTAGTTCAGCTTATTTTTAAATTTTGTGAGTTGAGAATTGTCAATGCTTGGTCTATTTGATCTTTTTGCACACTACAAAAAGTGTCATCTACCGCTCTGAACCATTGCTTAACAACTCGGTCCAAATTGGTAAATACATCCTCAGACAAAACAATGCCCGCAGTAGTCGCACTATCACCGCTGAAAAGGGAGGGCAGCGGACCCTCCGAAATGCCGTCCGGACAAATAATTAAGTGAGGAAAGTTTGAGTTTTTAAATTTTTAGCGATTTTATTCTTTACTACATAAATTCTTAAACTCAGTTTGGATGAAAGAAGTTTCCCAGAGTGACCTAGACCAATAGGTATTTAGAGACTGTCTTAATTTCTTACCACTTTGAAGATCTAAATTTGAAAATTTTTTCATCTGCAAAAACTTGACTTTGTTTCGTTTGCCATCACAATCCAACTCTTTCTTGTGAATATTGACACAATCCAGACAACAGGTTTTCACTTCGCATTTTGGGCACGTATATTTAGCTGAAGCTGCTCCACAAACTTCACAATCACCAAGTCTGTAAATTGGAACAATCACGAGTGAAAATAGAAGATATCACAAAGCCAATGGCGTGCGGTCCGAATAAGCAGGGCAAGCACTGCTTGGCCAAAGATTTCAGAAGAAAGAAGAAAATTACACCTATTACATGTTTTCAATTTAAGCAAATATTGTTGATAGAAGATTTAAGTAAGTAAATTGCATTAAAAACAAAGAAAGAGAGAGACAGAAGTACATCTATAGCCACAAAAGTGGGAAAGTGGCAGAGGGGATGGAGGTGGCACAGCGCAGCCTGATCACAGGCCAATCATGCTCTGGGGAATCGCTTGCGATGGGCTGAGCAGATAGTCATTGCTCGGCGGAGGAGTCAAGGCGGGTAAGGAAAGCGGTACGTTCCGAGTCTTAGCGCTATGCTGCAAAATCGCAGCTCACTTCTCTTAGCCTTTCACTGCAGCGCGCTGCTTCTGCCTCCGATGCACTGTCTTGTTTTCTCTTTCCTTCGCAGTTGCGATTGCTCCCTCCGGAGCAAGTGCCTCCATTTCTATAAAATGTCGCTCACTTGGATCCAATTGATGACTAATAATTCTTAATCATGTTTTAAACGCAGAAAGATGTTTTTTTGGGAAACTTAAAACAACTCAAAACATTCTAGGCGCTGTAGAATAGAGACTAGAAATACCTCAAGTAAGTGGCAAAATCGGGAGTTTAGAGCATGGAGCCGTCCTCCTATACTCAAAAATATTCGAAACAAGTGGAGTGAATAATATCATACAAAAGAGAGAAAGAAATAAAACCACAGTTTATCAAGACATTCCATCAGATATCATAAGAAAAATAGAGGGCCACGAGGATCTAGATCTTAACAATATACTAGAGAGGCTCCCTGAAAGAGGGAAGGGGTCCGCATTAACCCTCTCCCTCCTCATAATGGCAAATACTAAGGCTTGCCCTGTCACTTAATCCTCCGCAAGCCACTGCATTGAAACCACTACTTCATGGTAATGATAAGCACTCAACATGAAAGGCGAGTAAGATACTGAAGAGGATGAATAGAGAAAATGAGAGGCTTAGCATTTCGTTGTAATATGCTTTTACAATAGTAATAAATATACTTGTAACATCAAGACTTGGTAGGCACAAAATGTTACTGACGTTCAGTAAAGAAACAAATGACAGTTCTAATGCGGCATTCATTGGACTCTTCATCGATTGCTGTAAACATGCACGACTCTACATTCAAATATTGCGATTAACCTCCAGAACCAATTGAACATCCAAAGATAAACGAGGAAGAGGGAAAATATATTTTTTAAGGAGAAAATTTAGTTCCTGGTAGATAACGGGAAAGTGAGGTTATCTGATCCTGATATTGTGTTATCTGTTGGAAGATTAGCTAGGCATAACATTGAAATGATAAGAAAAGAGTCAAAACGAAAGGAATTACCTGGATATTTTCTCAACACCCATGGTGAAACAAAATTATTCGAAAGAATGAAAAACAATTGTAAAAGCCCAAGGGTGATCACGCGGTGTTAGTCACAAAAACACATAAAACAAACTCACATGTGTTTCTGTGTTTACTTCAGCCAGTGGCCAATCAAAAAGGACCAGACCTGCGACGGAAAGGGAAAACTGCGGGAATTTCAAATCTCCATAAACTCTCCCAGTCACCGACAGAGCATAGCACAGGGGAGAATTTCGGAGAGAATTTCATGAGCCGCCCTGCTCCGTCCCCCGTCCGCAGCGCGCATGGTAAGTAATGTTACTAATTTTATTTAATTTTAACTGCATAAAATTAAAAAAAAAAAAAAGATTATACGGTACAAGAATTTTTCCGCCAGGGAGCTCTCCCCGCTAGAAATCGTTCACCACCCGCTGCCGCCAGGAGCGCCGCAGTGTGCTGCCAGCGCGAAACGCGCACTGACTGACGCCTACAAATATACTTCACGCATTGCGCAATGCTTGAAGTATCCTTGTAGGTTTGTAGGCGCCAATGTGCGTTACGAGCTAGAGGCGGAGAAACTCATACATTGCTAATAATTTCACCACATCCGATATCGTGTTCCGATACCTGAGCGGAAAGGGTGCTTGCCTGCGGTGCATGCGGCTCCAGGTTCGATGCCCGCTGTTTAATAGACAACTTCATGTTAAATTAATATTTTTTTCCGACTTTTAAAATTACACGCTGTTTTATGACGTAATATTAGTGAACACTCAACACTAGAAGATGCGTACCTAATCATGAAAGTCGTTAGCTATACTATGCGCGCTGCGGACATGCTGCGAACGGAGCGGCGCGGCCGGCTGCGCATATGAAATTCTTCTCTGTACTTGTCATCAGTCACAGTTCACATGCACAACAAATGAGTCGAAAAGCAGGTACGCACTTTAATCTGAGTGCGACAGAGTAAATCAGCCGTCTCCTCCGGTCCTCATATTGACATTGAAAAAAATACAAAAATCATGAATGCGGATCGTCTGTCGCATTTTAAAAGTCGCACTCATTTGGCGTAGACTTCCGTATTATTTAAAATTTAAAACGTTAACTTGTGACGGTTTTTTCTCTTTTTATATTCTAAGGAAAATCCACCATAAAAAACCAATTTTTAAGCATCGAAAAGTGAATATGAACTTTTTTTCTGTCACAAGGCTCCATCTAATTTTGTAACTTCCAACACGTATTTCTTGAAAAAGCAGTAAGTGAATCGAAAAGACTTGCAAATAATAAAAAAGGACACAGTCCGGATCTTCAGTTTGGATTTTGGCCTTCTTAATTCACTACAAATTAAAAGTAGCCATCATCAGGCACGTGCCCATGAGCAAAGAATTTTTGCTATGCGGAGGATGTTTTTAGCCTACCTCAAAAATTGAAGGCATGATAATAGTGTGATTTGAGGTAGAGCAACCCCCTGTGTGACAGTTTTGCTCTCACTAAAAATTCAGCCAGAAAAAGCCACTGATACCTAATGTTTAAATTACCTACTTAGTTTTCCTTTAAAAAATTGAACATGGCAAAAAATCCACAAAGACGCAAACCAAGATAAGTACGTGTTTTATTCCAACTTTCACCAACACGTCCCTTTTCAGTAGTTTTCATTTTCAGTCGGCATTGCGACCTTGCCATTCGTTGTTCTTTAAGCACCATCTTTAACTATTTCATATCTAGCTTCATAAAATGAATCAGTATTGAATCTGGGTGATCGGGTTTCATTAATCTTTACATAATTGACAATATTTAGTTGCTGAGCGGCGGGCGGATTAGTTGAGACTGTTGTGCGCCTTTATTGAAACTCCTTCAATGAAATATTTCTAGGTCAGACCGACCGCTCTCTAAAATTAGAGGACCCGTCGAACGTTTATAATACATCTTATCAATCGTCTAATTTAAAAAATGCGTATACCGTCCGGGAAAGATTTCTATACAAATGGCTAAATTTTGACTTTCCGGTTGTAAATTCTACTCTTCCGTGTACGATCATGTAATCCGATCACCTCTTACAGGAAAAAGTCCCTCTTATCCCTATTTTCCTCCCAGAGCCTCGCGGACTCTTTGTTTTAAAAATTTAAACAGCCAACGGAAAAAAGTCGGACAAGGGAAGGTAAAATTCAATTTATTCTGGCATAGGTACAGCAGGTTACTACATACATCTTCCCACGCGCCGAGAAGGGACGTGCCGCCCCCCTCCCCCCACAGACTTCGTCCCTGGACCGCGGCCTCCCTCAAAAAACGACGTGCCGAAGTTACCTCTTGTCATAACGATTCGCACATTAAAAAGATAAATATGAAAAGTTAATTTCGCAGATGAAATGCGTTCGAATTATGACGAGCCCCCGCCAGCATCGGACATTCGCGATGCAGGGGTCGTGTTAAGGCCACACCTCGCCTGGTTTGCAAGTTGCCTACATTCTATTTTACAGGCTTATAATTTAATTCAGATTAGCCTCCGTCCCCAGTTCTATGCTTTTGCTCTTTTCACTAATTTGTTGAAATTATTAAGGTTAATCTTCAGCTGTAGTTCCGAAAAAATCCACCACGTCGCGCTGCTAAAATCCGACTCCGAAATCAGTGATTATTTAAATATCACAATAGGTATCTTAAATTCTAAGACTCATAAGTTCTAGCAGCATACGTCTGGAATCCTTAGAAACAAACGCGAGCTTTGAAAGTCTAATAATAAAAGCTGTAAATTGATCCCAGTTTCTCTTACGGGATATCTGTAAGTGCGAGAGAGACAGCTCACGGTGGGAGAGAGATATATGCCAACTGCTGAGAGCGATCAAGCGCGATTGGTTGCATCAAGGTCATCATGCTTAACCCTACTTTTTTCTGGGATCAAATTGCAGAGCTTCAGAAATGACTTTTCATGTTGTTTTTAGGGTCAATAGGAAGAAGAATGTTATAGCTAGAACTTATTTATCTTCGATTTAAACAGAAATTCCTTCAACTTTTATAAAAGCTCAAGGACTCACGTGGTGCTGTACGGACTCTAAAACACAGCGGTGGCGCCCCCTGCGCGGAGAAATTTCTTACTTCACGCAGCTGTAGATACACCTTAAGGAATAGAAATACCTCACTGGAAAAAAAAGTCGCTTGGATCTAGAGTCCAGACTCTTGAAAACATTGACAAGAAAAAATACTCTTGATTCAATCGGATTTTTACTTGAATCAAAAGGATATCCGCTTAAATTAAGAGGCTTGGTTCTCGGTCTGAGCAAAAATCCGATTGAATCAAGAGTACATATATTTTTTCTTGTCGATGTTTTTAAGAGTCTGGACTCAAGATCCAAGCGGTTTGTTTTCCCCGTGCTGCAGATTTGGCGCAGAGTCCTGGCATTTAATCAACATTGACCCTTAAGAAGAGAATAAAGGAGAAAAAAAATGCACTTAAGCTACCAAGACGTCTTGCCTTAGTGACGTTCAGTTAATATTTTTCATCTCCGAGAAATTGCAAACCATTTCTCGAAATAATCGATCCTGAATCTGAATAACAGTTATTCCCCTGCGGCAAATGTAAGCGACTACATACGCATACGCGATAGTATATCGCAAAGCTTATAGAAAATACTTCAATAAAGAAGGAAAAAATAGGAAAATTGGAGAAAAATTCACACGGTCTATCAGGTTAGCAGAGATTCTTTTTACATTTTCAAATTTTAATTGCCACATTTGATCAGCAATTTCAAAAGAAATCAGGGGCGGACTGGCAGCCGAAAAGTTAGGAAGCGACCTAGATTTGGGGGCCCCTCCTGTCGTTCGGGGCTCCCCTTCCGGAAAATTTTGAAAATTTCCCACTTTTTAAACGCAATTTGAAGCATTTATCGAATGAAATTCAAGAGATACCCATTCTCAGGATTCTTTTAAAGCCTCTTCATCACTTCTGGGGCCCCAGGAGCGCACTAGATTTCCCTGTATATTCTGTATTGTAAGCTTTAGGTGACCTTTTGAGTCTCTTAGATACAACTTTTCAAGGATTTTGAGGCCTTAGAGTAACTGAAAAAATTTGGAAAATTACAACATCACGGGGAAAAACGATGACTCGAATAAAAATCACCTCGGGAGCCCCTTAGGGGTCCACGCGGCAGATTGTTAGGAGGCGATCGCCTCCCCGCTCCCATGGCAATCCGCCCCTCAAAGAAATGACCTCATTGTCTTTAAAATGGACGCATTTCTGTCAAACGGAACTAAGCGCGAATTTGAGTTCCTTTTGAGGAATTTAGAATCGCGGATAGCGCGTTCTGTCAAACGGTACTAAGCGCCATGGAAGAGCACTGCGAGTATAGGACGAAACGAGCAGAACGCCCGTTTCCTCCGCCAATCCAAGGCCCCCTCTACCTTCCTCCCCCTATGGCGCTTAGTTCCGTTTCATAGAAATACGTCCAAATAATACTCACTGTACTTTGCTCTCGAAGATTGAACCGCCTTAGTTCATATAGGATAACCGTCGTAAATGGAGAAACGTCGTCTCTCATTTTGCTCATCGATATGTATGTATAAAATTGAAGGCATTTTGACTTTCTTCTCTCAACTTATATTCGTCTGTAACGATAAACAATGGGACGCGCTTGCTACGGCGCCTTGATACAACTATACAACCTCGACGGATGTCCGTGTTGCGGTCAAAAAATTGAAGGCGTTATGAATTCCTACACACCAACTGAAACTGGGTCGATCCACAAACGCGCTGGTCGGCGGAGAAAGGGACTTGATGCAACTATTTAAACTTGATGGATGTCCGTATCGCACCGCCTGAAGTGAAAAACCACGTATCTAGGTACATTGCGGTGTTTCCAAATTTCCGTTCTCATTTCATCTCTACCACGAGAAAGAATCCAAATTTACGATGTTAAATTTTGAAACAAATATTCTGCTATCCAATACGAAAAATCATAGAGAATTTAAGTTTTATGTTGACCAGCTTCTCGAAAAAGAAATAAAGTTGTATTCGGTGTGTGTGAACTCAACACGGACATCCGTCGAGGTTGTATAGTAGTATCAAGGCGCCGTAGCAAGCGCGTCCCATTGTTTATCGTTACAGACGAATATAAGTTGAGAGAAGAAAGTCAAAACGCCTTCAATTTTATACGTGCATATCGATGAG